TTGTACGAAAATTGAATGACTATAATTTTTCCGTGCACTTGATGCATGAAATAATGTGACGAGAATTTTATGTGTTTGGCAATTAACCCGAGTTTCTGGCTTGGTTTTTCGTTTCTCGGATAATTTGTATATTTCTCAAATAAATCGAGATTGATTCGTATTGGCTATTGAAACATTGATCGCCGTCATTAGTGAGCGGTACGCCACAATTCAAGTGGCTAGACTACTCATGTAAATTTTTTACTACCCAAAAATTTTACCCATTCGCCAGGCCCTTGATTCATGGCCTATATCTGCAAGCCATCAATCTTTCAGTCCCAAAAAAAAACAGCTCGTGTAGATTCACGGAAATTTTTTTTTCATATTAATCAAAGGCTAAGTTTAGTCGGCCCCATTTTCGGCCGACCACGCCTTTGGCACCAATTTTCTGAAAACTTCTTTGGTACCAATGTAGACTGATTTTTAAGGGAAGCGCGCTATCAAAAAAACGCAAATTTATGGTTAAAAACGGCCGGTATTTTTTTTGAAAAAATTGACTGGCAAAATTTTGAATAAAGAAATATAGATCCCCTAATATTAATAAACATAGCCGACAAAGAGTGAAAAAGTGTCAATGAACGCAAGTAAACAGAACAAATCTAATTGTTTTTCAAAAAAATCTTTTAAAATATCATTTTTCTTTTCGAAGTTCTAAGAAAAAATAGATGGCCTTATAGCTCATCGAAATTCTAGAAAAAATTCTGGGTGCAAGTTTTTGACAAAACTCACACAATTCGAAAAAAATTGGATCAAAAGGCTAGATTTTTGTTTCGCTGGGATTTTGGATATCTAAATTCCATTTCGAAAATTAGAACTTGATGAGGTTTATCGTAACCTATAACTTTCGCATGTTGATAGTGGAATTTGCCTTCTTTTCAACAAGGCAATCAACTAAATTTAAAAGTCAAGCCGCTAAAGAAATAAATTGAGCCTGAACAAATTAGGGCTTTTCATTAAAAAAAACATCATCGCTATCTATATAAGATCCCGAACTACGTTCATCGACTCAAAAAAGATGTTCAAAAACTCAATTAAAAAAATCATCAAAAAAAGGTCTGAAAAGATTTTCTTATTGAAAACACGTCTCGAAACACAATCACCGGATTTGAAGCGTTGAATACGTATTCAGAAACATTTATCGACTGGAAACTCAGCCGTACAATCTGGGTAATCAGTCGTTGAGCCGGGGGCAAAATTTTGTCATGAAAAACTTTTGAAAGTCAAGTCCTGCAATTCTGAAGTTTCATGCTCCCACCACCCGTTCGGAGACAAAAAATCTCAAAATCTACTTTCCCTTTAAACGCCCAAAAACTAGGTCACTCCGCCAATAAAATTTCCGCCTAAAAAAATTGAAGCAAATAGAGCTTTCAACAAAAATAGATATCAAAAATAGATCAGTAAAATTACATGTTATACGAAGAAATTAAGAACATTTTCAATTAAAGTCAAACATATTTTAAACACAAAAAACCGTTAGCAAAATAATATGCAGTGCTTATTTCGTGGCAAAAAAAGCAGGCAAACATTCGAATAACCTGATTATGAAGTTTTGGCGCTCTAATTTTTTAAATTAAGCAAACACACCCACGCACAAAAAAGATAATTAGCTGAAAAAGTCAGAAACATACAAAAAACAAACAAAAATGAGTAGCTAGCATGAGTAGTTAGAAAAGAGGAAAGAGTCGATCCATCTCCAATGGATTCAGTATATAACTGTTACTAAAAACGTAGTAAATTATGGTTTTCCAGCCGTGTTTTTAATAATAATCATGTAGTCTGGGGATCCGAGTCCCAGCTATGTGGTTATTTTTGCATGTAGACGAAAGCTGATGAAAAGTCGTTTGACTGATGGCCTAAAAATGGTAACTTTCTACTTAGCCCTAAACACACCAGAAAACTAACTGGCTAGGTCTAGACGGTTAAAAACGAGTAGAATTAAGGTAACTGACGCCTGCCAGTCGTCAATAGGTATTTTTTTACGCTCCGTCACTGTGTAATGTATGCGCGACCAATAAACTGCGCTTCGCAAACACCAGCGAGAACACAACTTTTTACATGTTAATAAGGAAAGATAGAAATAATCTTCGAATTAGTAAAACTTTGCTACGTATGTGCTTTGAACCTGCGCCTTCGAGAATTAGAGTCTCACACACTAACCCCTCGGCCATGAGCGCTACACAACCGGTTAACACTAGTAACAAACAAAGCAGCTACATATGCTAACAAATTGCCAATGCAATGCAGCAAAAATGGCACCACATACAAATAGACACAATTTTGCAAGTAACAGTTTGGAATATACCAAACTGAATGCATCCACACAAATTTGCATGTAACAAAATTGAAATCATAAATTACATTTTGTATAAATAATGAAATTCAAGATAAATTGAGTTAGAATATTTCTGAAATCAAGTTTTCATTATTGTAATGTTGTTCGAAACCAATAGCTTTTTTCGGTTCATTTGAGGAATTAAAATGCATCATTGTGTTAAATTATTACTTTTCGAATGTAAAAGCACATACTATCAAAAAGACGTAAAATTGCCCCAAAAGCGGCACCAATATTTGCTACTAAGGTTAGAATAAAAAGAAAAGTCGAGTATAACACTAAAGCTCACTTAAGTTCGCTAGTATTAAAAGAATGTGAGTTTGTAAAAAAACTATCTGTGGGCCAAATTTTGCTGAACTAGTGGTTAACCTTAAAAAACGATGTCTCGATTTTTTCACGCTTGCTAATCGCAGGAGCAGATCCCTTTCACCATTTAGTCTCAAAAATGTTTTCGATAATCTTCGCGCAAATTCTTTGGAAAAAGAATGCGCCTTTGGTTGGAACACAGTTGGAGACTGATATGACAGTATAACACAACGCTCGCAAGCTCGTTTGTGTATCTAGCTCAGTTTTCTTTAATTTTTTTTAAGAAAAACAATCTTTTAAACGAACTCGAGAGGAGTGCTTCGCATCCGGATGCAATTTTTTTCTTTGCTGAAAAAATTTCAGTGATTTTTTTAAAAGGTAGACTTAAGAAAACCAGCTGCTCCACTAACCTTTATTTCGATTCCCCTAAATTATAACTAGTTTGCATCTTAACTTGGATGAATTTTCTCTTCTAGATCGTGTATTTTTCTAGCTTTGTGACTATATTTAATATTCATCGATTTTTCATTTTTTCAGATAGAATGAACTAATTTATCTTCAGGAACAGTTTGTTAGCAGCTGTGGATCCTCAAATTTTATTGACTTTCAGGTGAGCTTCTCTAAGTACCCAATAATGACAATGAACTCTCTTATAGCTTTCGAATCAATCAAAGCGAAAGATCAGGAACAATTTCATCTACCTTCAATCATCCCCCTTTGAGTTAACAAGTTAAGTTGCTTTCAAAGGAGTTCTCTAGGCACGCCTGAAACTGATACTTCACACAAATCTACAAACTAGAGCCACCGACTATATAACATTGATACCTCTTGCTATACAATATTCCATATTTATACCAAAGACTTGTATCAGTGATCGTTTCTTAATTACCAGTACATACATATTTAGGTTCATATATTACCAGTATAAACTTAATCGAAGTAAAAGGAAAAACAATCGAATCGATAGTCCTTTCCCGAAAATAGAGTAAATTAACCACGCTCAAGTTGTCAGGTACCGGTTTAGCTTGCGGGAATTTTCAACTCGAGCAGAATAAAGTTGAGGCAGAATACACGTTAAGTTGATACACGGGAAAATCATCTTCAATATTATTAGACATGAGGGAAACAAATCGTGGTATTATTTGGCTACTCATCAATGTCATTTGTTACTCAGCAGCCAGTTTAGGGTTCGTCAAAACTGGATTTAACTCCTCGCTAATCTCTTTTTGGGTCGGGCTAAATGGAGTTTTATTATCTGTGACCTTATTATCGCTCGATACCGAATTCTCAGTTCACTCATTGCTTCACAAGCGACAGCTTTATCTCAGCTTTCTCAATGGGCTTATTTTTGGGGGAGGTGCTAACGGTTTACACTTCATATCACTTCGTTACATTCTGCCTTCAGACTCGATGCTCATAAATGCCTTCTTCTGTCTGTGTTCTTCTGTGGTCGCCGAGACCGTCCGAGAGCGCAAGTGTCCCACGCTACTCTCCGTCACCTCGGTGCTGTCGGGTGTCATCGGCACTGGCCTCATATGCAATCCACAGGCTCTCTTCTCCCTCGACATTCTTCAGATGAAAAGTCTACTTGGCGTCTCAATGGCTACTCTTTCTGGTGTTGCTTTCGTTTTTCTACTTACGAATATCCGCAGTTTCAATGAAATAAACCCTAGCTGGAACTATCTCGGCTTCATTTTCGGCACCGGAGCTTTCGGTCTAATGAACTATCGGCCTTTCAGAACAATAAATCCAGATTGCTCTTTAATGGCTAAAATACTAGTTTACTTATGTTTCATGAGCCAAGCTGTCGCCTCATTTGCGGTGATCAAAGGCAGCACCAAAGTTACGATTATAGCTACCTTTGTTATTCAGACATCAACCTCAATAGTGACATTTGCAGCCCAGTTGTTTCTGTTTCCAGATAGAATTACTCTGCAGAACACTGTCGGAACGATTTTCATCGTCTGCTCAGTTGCTCTTCAGTTAGTTGTGTTGCGAGTTAGAGATAGAAAGTTACAAAGAGAGCACATGCTTAGAGGCATTGAGATGGTCAATGAATAGACATGGAAGCCAAGAAGGCGGAAGCCAAGAACAAGTTTTGTACAACAATTTGTATCAGTGATAAGCATCATCTTCTCTGCAAAAAATATATTTACCTGAAAATTCGTACTGATCAGTTTTAATGTCAGGTTATAATGAGCTTATATTGAAAATTTAATATCAGGTTATATTTGAGACCAGAACAAATCAAGGCTAGCAAAACGGCAATAAAATTCTTGAAAACAGTGGACCATTTTAGAAACTTGTGAGACAGTTAAGCTACCTTTTCTGAGGCGGGAAGCAGCTCATTCTTGGCCACTTCGGCGGGGGTTGCCAACAGTCGGGTGATTTCTACAGTGAGTTTCATGCTAGCCCCACTTTCCAGGTATTCACCCACGGGCAGAGGTAGATCCACTGAAACATGTACAATAAGTGAAACAACAGAAATAACGCCAGAGAAACAGACTCTATATATAGGCACAAATATACTAAAATAAATTAACATAGCCAATTGGCTTTTTCAAACAAGTAATGAACGCAAGGAAATGAAAAAAAAACTTTGGAATTTTATGCCCTAAGAGCTCTTTGAATTTCACAAACCACTTATGATTGGTGTTTTTTGGTAGAATACACATTTTCTGTCGAATTTCCGAGAAAAGAAATATATGACCTTATAGCTCATTGAAATTGTAGAAAAATCTATGATTGACTTTATTAATTAAATTCATCCAATTTGAAAAAGCTGGATCAATAGGCAAAATTTATATTTCGTTGGGAAATCTGATATATAAATTCCATTTTCGAAATCAGAAGTCGATCAGGCTTTTCGTGACCTTTACACTTTTGCTGTTCGATAGTAGATTTTGCCTTCCTTTTAATAATGGAAATGCAATGAACTTAAAAAGAAATCACAAGTCAAACCGCGAAAAATTAAAACAGCGTGAACAAATTTTAAGACTTTTTCCTGATACCAAAAAAAAATCAGCAAGACCTATATAAGAGTACTCACTGCATTCATTACTCTTAAAAAACTAAAATAGAGGCTACGACAAGCAATTGGCTAATCTCAACATAATTTTGACCACAAACAATTAACGTTTAGAACCTCCTTAAGAATTTAACAAGGTGGAGCCCAAAGGCTCGATGTCTATGATTATCAGTGATGATGTCGAAAAACTTCCAAATAAACCAAAATAACATTGGCACATATTCAGAAATTGCACTTTTTACGAATGCTTTTGCAGAGAGCTCGGAAAATCACTTCCTAAAACCTTAAATCACACTAAAACCGAAAAGTACATTCATCTTTAATTACGGTCCGTCCCTGCCTCAAATGGTTAACCTATTATCCCAATCTCATCTTTTTAAATTTAGCTTACAAGTGCCCTGAAAATGAAAAGAGTATCATAGTGCAATCTCATTCTAATTCTCATACAAACACAATCGATAAAACGCCAAAAAGACAGGGTCAAAAAATGAATTTAAAAAAGAAAAAGTAAAACTAACGAAAATTCTGCTTTGAACCGGAATCGAACTTCCGTCCACGAGATTAAGATTCACGGGTCATAGCGTCTGATCTATGGTCACTTGAAAATCCTCAAACACTAACCACCAACAAACCAGATATAAAGATATAATGCTAAGCAGTAAAAGTAAACAGATATAATTCTATTGCTTCAAAAGCGCCACCGAACAAATGAGCACTTTTATTTGAGTTTGAACTTGAGGAAAATTCGTAATATGACATTACGTTCACTAGCTCGCTAGTGCAAACAAATACCTTAACACTTCTCGTTTTACCTGGTCCGTCTACGGCTGTTGGGTTTCCCACCACCTGTCCTGTTCCCATCCTTCCTGGCTCTCCTCCCTGCGTCTGGAGTCCCAGTAACTCGGGAAGAGGTCCTTGTTGGATCTGAGTCTTGAGACACAACCTCTTCCGCCCTCTCAGAAGCTCACTCAGGTCAAATTTGGCCACACCGAAAGGATCCCACGTAGATTTACTCTCGAATGCGTTGTGCACAGTTCTCTTGTCTGCATCATAAGTTAATGTTTAGCTATCTTTTCGAAACCTCCGAAACTATTTTTCCATTCATCTTGCGTTTTTTCAAAAATGCATTTTTTCTTTTAATCACTTTGAACAAATCTTCCAAAAAAAACATACTAAATGGTATATTGAAACTTTTGAAAGGTTCTAACTAATTAAGAGTTTGGTTTTTCGAGCGTTTCACCCGACCTGCGATTTTTACCAACTTATTTTACTTAACAACTACATGAGTGTTTTGAAATTTAGCATGCATGGTAATAACCCAATATTTAGCCTATTTAATCTGCACCTACAACCTTATAAAATAGCTGGTAACCTTTTTGTCGGCGTTGGAGTAAGGGGACAGTAGAAAAGTCACAATTTTTTTTTTACAAATTATTTTTCTGCGCAAGTAATACACTAGCACTAAGATATCTACTTTGAAATATCTTTTGAGATCCGAAAACTGGCTGAATGGGTTTCATTGGATAAAACGCTTGCTCTCTTTCATACTTTCTATGAGGTAGTCAAATTGGCTGAAAAACTCCTTAGACAGTTTCGCACTCCTTCGACTGGTCGGGAAAAAAGATCCCAATCGCCAAAAAAAAGTAGCGCTTTGAAAAATAGAATTTTAAGCGGTCGGAACAGCAACTTACTGGCCACAAGTGCTATGCTGGATATCTTATCGTCATCCGGCTCCTCCCCGAACAGCGCCGCTGGCTTCTCCTGTTTCACCTTCCGACCATCTCTGTCGTGTATCTCCACCTCGAACAGACCCCCTCGGAAGATCTCACGCACCTCAGCCGCGTCCATCATTCCTAAATAACGATAGCAAAAAATCACTCCCGTCGCGGGGCAAAATCTGTCAGTTGAACTGCCGTTTTTAAGGCTGCAAAATCAAAAGACAATTTTGAAATACTTGGACATACATTCAGATAAACTGTAAGCTCAAACATAGCCAACAGATATGAAAATAGAAAAAAGTCAATGAACGCAAGGAAACCGAATAAAATCTGACTTGTTTTTCGAAAAAAAAACATGTCCTTAAGACTGGATTAATTGATAAATTTTTCTCTAACTAAAGACCAACATGCTGATTATTAAAAAACACTAATTGAAATCCTAAAGAGGTGCCAAATTTCATGACGTTTCATTGCGTATAACAACCACGAAAAAAATAAGAGATAATAGATGATTATCAAAAAGGCAGATTTTGAGTTAGATTATGACTGCATTTCACATAGAAAATGAGGTTTTCTATATCCACATCCAACCAAAAAATTGCCTATATTGAATTTGATACACTCAAAAGAATAGGTACATTTCCTAATTTCGCAGAAAAATGGCCTTATAACTCTTTAAATTTCCAAAACAATTTTCTGACTTAGCGGCTTTCTTGTTTTGCATCGCAAAATGAAAGCAGGATATAACTTTTTGCTCCATATGCCTGATTGATATTAGAGAGCGTAATTTTTGTAGCATATGGCAAATGAAATTGATGTGAGCTTAAGAAGAAATCATATGAAATGTTAAACCGAGAAAAATCAATTTTAACGACTTTCTTCTAAACTGTTCTAATTAATTGTTTTTTATTTGTCAAATCAGAATGTGAGGAAGGGGAATTTCTAATTTCCGATTTACCGAGCAGAACGACGTTGGTATCATTCCAGTGTATGTCCCTGTCTTGAACCTTGGGAGGCGTCTTGTACCAGTCGAGATTGCCGAACTTGTATCTGCAGTAGGCCGGGTGACATCTGTAAAAACAAATCATTTTGTAGAACGCAATTCGAAAAGCAGGCTCATAGTTCAAACTGATCGACATCGTCAAATAATCAATGATTCCTCTTTCAATTTAATAAAAGCAATTTTTATCAAACTTTAATACAAAAATTATATTAACGAAACTTGCATTTTTCCCATACAAAAACTAAACGAACATGGTCTTAAGACTATTTTTCCTTGCATATGCAAATTTTAGCGCCACATTCACATAGAATAGCACACTTCATTGAAACATAATTGAAAAACTAACTAAAACAGCGTACAACTTTGTGAGGTAAATTAATTCAATATTTCGCGAGAAACTTTATTCAGCGGCGGCAAGTAATTTCTGATTAACACAATTTTTAAGAAAAATCTTATTGCTGACTAATCAAATTTCTTAAAAGAAAGTATTACTGCGCATCACAAAAAGCAAAAATCGGTATACAGAAGCGTCAAACATAGCCAACTGACATTTAGAAAGGAGTAATGAACGCACGGAATCTTAAAAAACCTGAATTGTTTTTTGAAAAACCTTCAACTTTTGAATTTGAAGAAGAAAAAAATTCTTTGAATTTGTATAACAATTCACGATTGAAACTTTTTTTGACAATTTAACCCGATTTAACAATTTAATCCGATTTGAGAAAACTGGATCAATAAGTAAACTTATTTTGCTGGGTAATCTGAAAATTTATTTCCATTATCGAAATTAGAAGTCGATCACGTTTTTTGTGACCTTTATGTCAGACCTCAGTATTGTTCTATCTGGTCTCTAGAGGATTGCTGTGCTTTTAAAGGAACGCTTTCCAAATGAAGAGGAAAGTTTAAAACCCGAGAGATATATAAACCGGATGTCGTAGATCGTCAGGACGGTAATACTCAGAAGGCTCAGAGGACTAAGAAAGAAGTTTAGGCAGAGGCTTTTAATTTTAATCAAGCTGATCACTCTCGCGAATATCTCTCAATTGATTTTACAATTTTTTATAAACCATGAGTATATGATGCTAATTACACTCATCAAATTTATTTAACAAAATTACCAGAGTTTTAGTCATTTTGTTTTCATCATCAATCCTTATCTGTCCTTTTATATTTGTGTTTAAATGTTATTTCCTGTTTCTTCCTTCATGGTATTGACTGATTTTCCAGTTCACATTTTCTTGTTTTGAAAAGTAAATTCAGCTCGTAGGCATAAACAAAAGTGGGCCTCGAAGTTATCAGTAAGGTCAAATAATGAATCACAGAAATGGAATTTAGGGATGTGATACTACCATCCTTTGAAAGTTGACCTGGGTTCGCTATTCTTCTGCATTCTGCCATTGTTTTTTATAGAAAGAGTCGGGTTATATTTGAAGCCCTCTAATTCCACAAACAGTCCGTTAGTCAGATTATATGTTTACAAAAACTCAGCACAAGGATAAATACATTTTTTCAAGAATGTGTTAAAAGTTAAGATGATAACTTTCTTTAAAATGATACTATTCTTTAAAGTAGTACCTTTAAGGTTACTGAAAGGTGTTTCAAGGTGTAATAAACGTCTCAATGTTCCTTCAGTGGTACTATGTTTTCATTCAGGGGATGAAGTTCTGGTTGTGATTTAGAAACATCCCGTCTCCCTTTTGCATTTGTGGTAGATCCACAAAAAAAAGTGCATGGAGTACCATTGAGCCGATGAACGAAATTATACTCATCAATGAGTTTTTCAATATAAGCCGGTCATCAATGACTCTTGCTAACGAAGGTCTAAGTTTCCTCATATTCAGCGCTAACGGTTTTGCTATTTTCCTCTTCTGTTCTTGATTTTGAACATTTGGGACTTCTTCTTTACTTCCTTGAATAATTCGATTCCCGCTTCCATTTTTGAGTCGTAGTATGACATGTCCTCCAATTCTGCCAATTTGCTTAGTAAATTTTAGATGGGATCCGGCAATTGGACATTTATCTTTATTGCTGGGAGCTGTTCGCATGTTGCTAGATCTGATCTTGCTAGATCTTTTGATGCTAGGCCCTACCAATTGTTTTCCACATTCCATTGTTACAAGGCAGATATGGCATCCCGGGAAATTTTCTATTCCACTGGCGGTTGTTGATTCGATAGTGGAGTTTGCCTTCCTTTTAACAAAAGAAATGAAGTAAACTGAAAGAAATCAAGTCAAACCACGAAAATTGAGTGTGAATAAATTTTAAACCAAACAAACCTAATAAAAACAAAAGAAATCAACAATATCTATACAAGAACACACGTTCATAACTCATGGAAAAGACAATGGAAAATAGGTTGATTTTCGTAATTTCTTAAGCTTTCCCTTTGTCGGTTTAAAAGGCAAAAAGAAAACGACACAGACATTCGAAACTGATCAAGATTGCATGCTGATAAACAGTCATGGGACAGAGAAGTTGCAATTTTAAGTTTTCAAGCGAGATGAACGGATTTTTTTTCACGTTTGTGCCGTTTTCTCTACAACTAATCAAGATTAACGGTTGAAAATTTCACCTCTGACGGAATAAACTATATTAGACATTAGCAGGGTAAAAACAGTAACAAATTGTTTCTTAGGCGCCGTTTGGTCTTTTAAACAGGGCGACAGAGAAGTATTGTTATTGTCAAAAATTCCCCGTTAACAGCACAAGCAAATTAAAACTTGAGGCCTAGAAAAAAAATTCGTTGGAAAACTAAGAATCTCAGCTAGGTCCTCATTTAAGTTATGTTTCACATAAAAGAACTGAAAACTTTGTTAAGCTCTTATACACAAGTTGACTAAAAAGTCAGCAATTTAGATAGCAAAATGCATCAAATCTGAGTTAATGCAAAAATCTGAGTTTCGGAGCTGAGCAACTTTTTGTATTCCTTTTTAAACACATCCAGCGAGAACACAAAAAGCAGCTGCATAAAGTGCAATAAGCAAAATTAGAAATAAGCCTCCAATCAGTTTAAAAAAATTGGCAACGTCTGTGATTCGAACCTGCAACCTAGATAGTCTCATACACTAGCCACTCAGCCACGGAAGCTTAATAGGTACCAAACAAAAGCCACAAATAAGCAGAAAACAGATGCTATGCTATTTCCAATGCTACAGTGAAATTTCTAAATAAGTGAACACTTTAATTGAACTTTTATTTGCCACTTAGGTTAGAAAAAAAGAAGGTTCGTAATAATACACTAAGCTGAACGCTAGTGTAAAAAGGAAAAACTGATATGAGGGCCTAGCTGAGATACTTAGCTTTCCAACGAAAAAATTTCAGGTCCAAAGTTTCAAACTGCTTGTGCTGTTTACAGGGAATTTTTGGCACTAACTGTCGCCCTCTAATTTAATGGCCAAACGACGCCTTAAAACAATTTTTTATGGTTTTTTATCAGGCTGTTGTCAAAAAAAAGTTTCATCCCGCATCTCAGTCAAACTTGAAAAAATCTTCGTTCATTTTCTTGCTTGAAAACTAAAAGTTGCAACGTCTATGTCCGGTGACTGTAGCTACATCATGTGATATATAATTAATGCAAAAATTTTTCACAAAAATGTGCGACATATTTGTGTGAAAAACTGAACTCGTATTTTAACACAAACAAAAAAAATGCGTTTTTTGTGTCATAAAAAAGCCGCCATAATAGGTTAAGAATTGTGCTACTTAAGATTTTGGCTACCAATGAAACCTGCGAAAGAAAGAATTCTGCTAATCCTACCGTTTCCTTAGCTCCGAGTATGTCATAGGCGTGTTTGGCATGGCAGAGGTCGACTCTATCTTGATACTCATTGGGTTGAGTGCCTCTCTCTGCTGTTCGTTGAGGAGATCATCGTCTAGAGAGATAGTCACAAACATGTCATTCACATCTTCCGCAGGCGAGTCGAGTCTGTTGGTCACTGAACGCAGTCCTGTGAAATGAACAAAAAAAAAGTAGACGAATTAAATAAACAAGATAAACAAGAAGCACAGAACTTTGTAACCAGTTATCACAGCCAAAAGAAACGGAGCATCAACCTGAAGCTAGAAGTCACGTGAGAGCTCGTCCTCACAAACTATCACCGACATGGCAATGATAGTGTACGAGGACGAGCTCTCACTTAACCTCTAGTTGCACGCCGATCACAGCCTGACCGATTTTGGCTGCAATAGTGGTAGCAGGTGAAAGCTCCAGGAGCAAAAAAGCGATCTTGAGTCGCAAAAAAAAGATCTTCGCTCAAAAAAAAATTAGTCTAGAACAAGGGGAAATAAGATACACGGACTATCCTCAAACAGACTGGATAGCCTTTGATACATTCTCTGCAACTGAAGAAACTACAATTAATTTAACATCCATATTTGAGAAAAAATTGCAACTTCTAGGAAAATATAACTTTAAAGCGACTTGATTGAGCTGTTGTTTCTGAAACGCTTTTAAAATTTACAGAGAGGCCAAGCTGCGCTTCTCAAACACTTGCGAGAACACGACCAAAAAGCAGCTCTATCAAGTGAAATAAGAAAAAGTAGAAATAAGCCTTGAAGCAAAAACTAGTCTATATGTAGGATTCGAATCTGCGACCTAGTGCAATCAAGAGATTTAGATTCACACGCAGTATCCACTCAAGCTTAACAACCGACAAACACTATTCACGAATAAAGCAGCTACATATGCTAATAATTCAGCAAAAGTGGCACCAAATACAAACACCAAAACAGTGTTATCTTATTACTATTTGAATGTCCAAGCACATGCTATCAAAAAGACGTAAAAGTGGCCAAAAAGTGGCACCAGTATTTGAGACTTAGGTTGAATTCAAAGAAGATTCGTTCTAATACACTCGCTTCGAGGGTGTAATGGCCAAACGACGCCAAGCAGGAAAAAGAGCACCAAGCAGGAAAAAAAAAGAGTTGAATAAGAGTGACTCCAAATGATTTGCATAGCTTCACTATTCGCTAAATGAAGTCTGAGGAACAAAAAAACTCAGACCTGTTCATCTTGATAAAATTCAAATGACTTTTTCAAATCCAAAACATAGCCAATCGAATATTGGAAAAGAGTAATGAACGCAAGTGAACATAAAAAAACACTGAACTTCTTTAAGAAAACCTCAACTAATCGTTCAAGTTTTTTGTGCCATTTCCATGTTCGTATTTGGAGAGTGTTTTTTACGTAACTTTCAGCAGATGAATTTCAATTGAACTCAAAAAGTGCATTATATTTAAGTGCATCAATATTTTTTTTCTGAAAAAAAAATCAGCAAGACCTATATAAGAGTCTTCACTACGTTCATTACTCTTTATCACGAAAAAGGGCTTTAAAATGAGGCCATATCTCACTTTTAAGAGCATTTTTCAAGGCCTAAGAACGTTTTATCCGCTTCAAGATCGAGTTTTATAAGTGAACCCAAAAAATTAAGATAGTAAGCGGGAAAAATTTTTTAACTATCAGCGGTAAAGCATTCTGGCAAAACCGAGACCTAAACAAGAAAAAAAGGGAGTTGTAGAGAAATAATAAAAAAGAAACTGACCAGCAAAGAGCATCGACATTCTGACAGACACTGACGTCAGTCCGTACTTGTGGAAATGCGCATTCCTCTCATCCACCGCCCTGTCAAGTGAAGTAGCCCCAATGCCCCCTCCTCCCTTCTTGCCACCATGGGCAATACTCACACTTTTGCGAGACATTCCTGTAAAACATAAGAGATTGTTCAAGTTATCCCCCCCCCCCCTTAACTAGGTGGTATCAGAAGTCATCACCATTCGTGGCATCATAAAAGAACTATTAACATTTACATTAGTTTGTATCATAATCTCACTCGAAATTAATTAATTAATTTTTAACACTATGGTTAACTTTCGTTTCTAGAATCTTACATCGTTTCTTGGACAATCACATTTTGCATTTTTTGAACCTAGTAACGCAGCCAACAGAAAGTTTGAAAAGTGTCAATGAACCCAAAGAAAAAAATTTTGGCTAATTTTTGAACATTTTCAATTTTCGAAATTCGGGTCAAAGAGTGTTTTTTATTCCACTTGGAAATATAGTAAAGTCCACTTTCGAATTTGAATCTAAATCACGTTTTTTTTTCGCGCCACTTCCGATTTCACTATTGGAGAGCGTTTTTGTCTTTCATTTAGCAAATGAATTGAAATTAGATTGAAGAACTCAAAAAGCAAAAAATCAAATAGGAGCGTGATCAAATTTTAAGACACTTGAAAAAAGTGTCTTCACTGCGTTCATTGACTCTTCAAAATTCAAACCAGTTTTTCGGAAAACTGAGACAATTTTACTGAATCCGAAACACGGCTGAAAGTGCTTTTTAAGGACGTCATAATCGGGCGAAAAAAATCTGTAGAAAATACACAGTTCCTTGTAGTCACTTTCAGTGACTGTCGTAACAAAAACTAACCAAAAAAAAACGAATGGAAAAGTTTTATAACCTTCGAGATATCGATATTTGTAAATAATCTAACTTCAAAATTTTCAGAGTCTATATAATATTCTGCAAATCATTTTTTAGAAAAACCTAAAATCCTGTAATCCCATACAATTTATCTGTCAAAAGAATTCTCATCAAAGAAAATTACGTTTGGAAATTGTATGACAAACTTTTTTCGTCATCACCAGACTGTTTCATTGGGTTTAAATAGCCGCAGAAATCAGTTCAAATCTGTTTCCAACCTATTTAAGGAATTGTACGAAAATTGAATGACAATAATTTATCTGTGCTCTTCATGCATGGAATAATGTGAAGATGACTTTCGGTCAACCCGAATTTCTGGCCTTATTTTTCTATTTTTGGATAGTTTGTATACTTCTCGAATGAATCGAGATTGATTCGTATTGGGATTGAAAAAATGATCGCCGTCAGTAGTACGCGATACGCCAAGAATCAAGTGGCTAGACTACTCAAGCAAAACTTTTCTGCATACTCAAGCAAGACTTTTCTCCACAAAAAATTGCCCTTTTGCCAGGCCCTTGATTCATGGCCTATTTCTGCAGGCCATCCATCTTTCAATCCCAATTAAACTAGCGTGTGTAGATTCACGGAAAATTTTTACATTATTCAGGGGCTCCTCTCTCTCTCTTCTCTCCTCAGGGATTCGATCCCCTGTGCCCTTTAGGTAATATTTTATAGCACCCATTTTTGGCCGACCAAACCTAAAACTTTTGAAAAAACGCTTTTGGCGCCAATATATACTAATTTTGAAGAGGAGTGAGCGGCGAAAAAAAAACTTTTTTTTTTATCAAAAAGAGCATTTTTGAAATGTTTTTTTTTTTCACCAACTTGACAGCGGCGCAGAAAATTTAGTCCAAATAGGGTTTTATTGTGCTTCGGCAGCGCTCGGAAAAATAATTTTAAAATATCAAGTTCCGCCCCTCACAAAATCTTAGATCCTCAAATATTAATAAAAATAGCAAACAGACAGAAAAAAAGACCGTAAAGCTCCTTGAATTTTTTCAAACAATTTATGATTGACATGTTTTTGATGAAATTAACTCAATTTGAGAAAACTGGAGAAAGGGGTAAAATTTATATTTTGCTGGGAAACCTGATAATTAAATTCCCTTTTCCCTTTTCGAAAATAGAAGTCGATCACGTTTTTCATTACCTTTACATTTTCGCTGTTCGGTATTGGGGTTGGCCTTTCTTTTAATACTGAACTTAAAAGTCAATTCGCGAAAAACTAAATTTGAGCGTGAGTTTTCCTGAAAAATTCGGGGAAAAAATCATCACGACCTATATAAGAGTCTGAACTAAGTTCATCGACTCTTAATAAAAATCTGTTTCATAAAGGTTTCTTCATGACCTCCATGGTACATCTAATTTATCTGACACCTTCATATTTTCATGAAGCCATAGAATCCATGGATTGAGAGTTTAAAAAAGCCTCATCCGGATGCACTAATAGCTTTCTTGTAGCCATTATTCATCTTAATTCTTTCTTTTTCGTGGCAAACAGTAGAAGAGCTCGTAGGAGTTTCTCATGCCAGAGGGACCAAATTTCCAAACATTATAGACTCCAATCAGAATTCAGTATGCAAAAACTCGAAAGTCTTAAGCTTTGGACAGCTTGAAAGAGGCTCATTGGCTGAGAACTATCACTCATTAAAATCCTTCTGTTATGAGATAATCACCTAGAATATTGAAAAAGGTCGAATTCTGAAAATGGTGCAGGGAAATTTCTCGGGCCGAATGGACTGAATGACCTAATTTTTTCAATCAATCGGCTGTCCAAAACTGACTGATTTCCAAGGTCATTTCTTCTGAACTTTTGAAAGCCTAATTCAAATTGTTAGAAATGGTTTTCAGTATTTCCAACCTTCTTACATGAGAATAACCCCCCCCCCCCCTGTCATACTACTCACTGCTGGCGGCTGAGTTCCTCCTAGTTCCCTTTGAGGATGCGACTGACATGGCCTTGTTGGTGGCAATGGGCTTGTCCTGTCGGTCACTGGCAGCTGCCAATCTACCCAGTCTGCTATAGGTCCTGCTCACATAACCAAGTTATTAAGATCATTTAATTACGACTGAAGGACCAACAAACAAGCTGCTCAGCTATTTATGGAGAACTGCTGTAGTTTCTTTGCTCGAGAATTTCATGCATTTCTGTTTTTTTTTTCTGGTCTGAAAAATGTTGCCTCATACTTCGGCACCGAGCACGGATCATGGTAGGACACCAACACTCCAAAACAAATAACTAGATTACTGATGTTCATATTTCTCACGCGATTTAACTGATTCTTGCTCAATCTACTTTTTGAAACTTGAACCCAAAAATGTATTCCTTTTTTTTAAAAAAAAAGCTTTACTGAGAGAAGAAAACAAGACTTAAAAAATGGCGACCTTTCCATGATACTAATAACTTGCAAATACTTGAAAAGTTGGGAATAGTTAAAGAGATCCAAATTTCTAACCAAGCATGCAGTCATTAATTCGACTTGCCTCATATTCTCCTCCAGTTCAGCTGCACTGGTCTGATATCCGACAATGGTGTGTGGGATCTTGCCAGAGGGACTGCCATCCTCTCTATCCCCACCCGCGCCACCATCTCCCCCCATATTGTACACTGACTCTTCCAAACCCTGAACAGACAATCAAAAATTATTTTGTACTAGAGAAGGTCTTTTCCGTGACACGCTCCTCAGAGAGTTTAAAATCAGGAAAAGAAAACGGTTAACCCAGTCGGCTAAGCAAGACAAAAATGACTTATTATAAAAACCAGTGAATTAATATTGTTAGGCAGGTAGCTGGCCTTTTTGATGGGATTTCTTCTGGATAAGTTTCGCAGATTATTAAGAAAATTTTACCTTCTTGAAAACAAATTATCCGATATAAGCGGCCATGAAACCTATATAATATCGGCCGAAACTTATCAAGCCAAAAAAAAAGAAAAAACAAAAAAAGTCGAAACAAATTTTGGTCATGAAAAACTTGAACTATAATTTCTATTAGGATTTTTAGCTTTTTGACGATACAGAGGTGAGCATGAAAAGTATATTTCCCTTGAAACTACTCGAAATTAGGCCACTATGCTGATATAAAATAGGCCGAAGCCTATTTGGCCAAAAAAAGGACACAAAAAAAATTAAATTTTAACAAGTCGAGTTGGAAAAATCACAACCAACATAAAAAGCAAATTTTGAAAAGGACGGACATTTAAAATAACAGACTCAAACATGCTTAATATTTGCAAACGAGAGGAGTAGGAATTGCAAAGAGGACGAATAGGTGAAGAAGTCTAGAGGTGTCGTGGACAGAGTTGTTTACGGGAAAATAGTCTAGTACCCGATTGCAATACCCTCGCTTATCGCAAGGGTAATATATTATATGACTTTTAGTGTTTTGTTTACTGATTTCCAGAGTTTGATACAATCAAGTTCGCTCATCTTCGGTAAATGTTTTTTCTCATGCAGAATTGGCGTCCGGGTTCTAGAAATCCTGGGTTATAACATGTCGGTTAAAAATGCAGGCAACCTTCAAACTTTCAGCAGTACCTTGTGTCCGTTCGGGTTCTTGTCGTCCATGGGGAGTCCTGTTCCGGGTGCTTTGGGGATGAGTTCTGGGTTGGTGTCTGCCCAGTCTGCAAACTTCTTCTCCAGCTCCACTTTCTCATGCGGCAACATCCTGTAGATGTCTCCTGAAACCCCAAACAAACAACCGCTCATTTACATCTAGGAACTGTAAATGACAAAAAAAAACATAATTTAACCTAGAAAATATTTCTTGAATCGTAACAAAATTGAGCTGTGACAAGTAAGCCGACAAAAATTGACAGACGAATAGTTTTCTTGAAGCCGAAGATTTTCAGTTTATAGTTTCAGAAGTAAACTTCAAGTAAACACACCAAAAAGATCAAAAATTTACGTACTCCTTTTGGAATAATAGACGTCATCTCTGAAGCTGAAGTATTTCTTAGGCTGTAAAGAGACGAAATCCCTGGACTGGCTGAACACTGTCGGTTTCACTCCCCCGATGTCCTCTGGATCCTCGCCTGGCTTCGGTCCAGGAAAACGGAAACCTTTTGGTCTATCGAACCTGTAAAACCAGTTGCGTGGTAAAGTTTTCATTTTATTCATTCTAATTTTATCTCGTACATAATCTTTGAAAAAGAGCCTTTATTCAGCATCTCTCATTTAGTTACGCTTTAAAAATGACTTTAAGAAACTCAATTAAGTCATTTGAGCTACAGTAACAGATCTCTGATTATTTTATTGATACGAACAGCTTTTATCTAGTAAAAAGTCTGCACATATAAACCCATCATACTGCTATAATTGATATCTCCAGTTTCAATAAAAAAGGTAAATTATAAAAGGGGCCCTTCCGTTTAGGTACGGTCGTGCACAAGCTGGATAGGGCCCATACCAGCATTATATAAATACATCAGTAGACAATATTGCAGGAATTAGGTCAAGTCAGCATTTAATGCGTTGTCATTAAAGGTATGTACTTCAACCGTCCCTCCTCTATAAAAGCACTAATTGAATTGTCTATAAGGGTTTCAATATAGGGTTTCGTTAAAGGGTTTCAATTACCCTAAAATCTCCATGAATTCATATTTTATACGCAAAAAAACCTCCAGTTAAACTTGTTATATAAAATTGGTGCATGAATGACACCTGTTACCTGGTGGTTGATGAAACTTTTTCTCTGCTATTCCACACCTTCACTTCTAGAGTGTGATCGAATAACTTGTGGAGAAGCTCCTTTGTCACGGAGATTTTGTGACTAAAAACAGCCAATTGACATTCAGCGATTGACATTTTAAATAGAGGTTATTTTTCTTAATAACAGGCAACAGACCGCTGAACCTCAATCAACCAAGCCAAAAAATGGACATTTATATTTGCCACCCTTTTAACTAGCGTCATCAAGCGCCAAGGTTGGCCCAGCAGTCACATTATTGCAGAGCGTAACTTATCGAAGCCAAGAGTAAAAATATGACTTATTTTCGTATCATAACTTTCCGAGAGCGTAAACGATTAGCTGATATCTTATGCTTAAGCCGAAAAAAAAATCAAAGTTAATGCACTTTGCTTTCACGAAGTAAATTAGGCGGTTAAAAACAAGACACACTACTTTTTCTTACTTAAATAAACGTGTTAAAGCTTTTACTTGTGTTGGAATGTAAACCAAGTTTTTTCTCCCTCGCGCCATGTTTTTACACCCGGATTCTCACTGACAGTTGCTCCCTTTCCGTAAACTTTAGCTGCTGTGGGAAATGTCACCACATCAGCTACTGTTTCCTCCTCGCCGTCATCAGGGGGGATCAAATGATAAGCATAGTGGAAGTACTGGATGGGCTTAGGGGCCTCAGCTTGTTTCTTTTTCTTGTTGCTTATCGATGACTCAGTGGGTTCTCGGTCAACGCCCACGAGAGGGTTCAGTTTCTCAGACTCGTCTGCAAACACGCAGAGCATTATCTCAAGAACGTGAAAGAATATTTTTTAAAAATCTGTTTCGGCAAGAAAACGTTGCATTTTCCTCGCAATTACAAACATGGCAATTACGCAAGGAAACTGAAAAAAAAAAAAAAAACTTGTTTTTTCAAAAATCTTTAACTTTTGATGTTGGACTCTGAATGAGAGTATAATCTGCCTTGATGTAAAGAGTTTATACACTAATGTCCCGCTCAAGGAAGCTGTTGAAATAGCCCCGAGGAGATTATATGAGCAAATCAATCCTCCGGAAATATCTCGCAAAACTATGAAATTTACTAAATTTGGCAGTGAGTAAGGTACACTGGTTTGTGGTACGCTCAAAAAGGCGGTTTAGCAATGAGCTCCTCCCTTGAAGTAATACTGGCCAATTTGTGGCTCTAAGAATACGAACCAGCATTAATGAAAGAAGTACCAAAGTGAGTGTGCTAAATGAGGATAACGAGAAAGTCTGCCCTGGATGTCAGAAAAAGGTGACATATCGAACTAAAGGGTTAGAATGCGAAGCTTGTTTCATATGGTACCACTTAGCGTGTGTTTACATATCGGAACTCGAATACGCAGACATCGCTGAAACAGTATGGTATTACATAACTTGCAAAAAAAAAACAAGAAGCAAATCGGACTGAGAATGGTGTTTAAGTTTTTCTAAGATTATGTGGACGACATAGTTAGAACTTTCAAGGGTGATCCTGGGGTAGTCCTCGAGGCTACCAATAAATTGCATCCATACTTGCAGTTCTCCATAGAAGAACTTGATAGCAACGGTAATTTGGCCTTTTTGGATTTAAATGTCAACGTGGACTCAGGAAAAAAGATCACATGTGGGTGGTACCAAAAACCCACTGATACCGGCACCATTCTAAATTTTAGAGGTTGCGCACCTTTGTTAAACAAAAGAAAAAATATTGAAGGAACGGTCCATAGGGTTTTCAGAGTACCTCAATATGGGAAAGTTTTGACCGGGCATTGGAAAAAAAATCAGAAACAATGGATTGAAAATCAATATCCGAAACATTGGTCGGACAGTGTAGTTTTTGAAACTCTTAACAAGATCATTGAGGGAAAGAAAAATATAGAGGTGACGGCATCAGAACCGAGAAATGATAAATGGTTGAAAAACTCAACCCCCCCCCCCCTTTTTACAATGCAATATCGAGGCAATCCATCTCAACTATTAGCTGCAAAGATTCGGCAAAAATCCAGGGCACAAATAATTTTTACAACAAGAAAAGTGAAAACATGCTTGGCATCCCTCAAAACTTCCTTTGCTCGTGAACTGAGATCCAAAGTGGCGTATAAGCTTACATGTAGTGGATGTAGCTCCACCTATTTCGGCCAGACAGTCCAACATTTAGCCACGAGGGTCGATGAACACCGCATAGGGGACTCCCTAGTAGGGGCAACACTTGTTAGAATGTAATAAGGAGGTAAGCGGTGCTGCTGAGCTGAAGTCAGAGATTATAGACCAAACAGCCAACACTCAGAAGCTACTCAACTAGAGGCTTTGCATATTTGGAGGGAGAGGCCGAGAATCAACACACGCGATGAATTCAGGAGCCAGGAATTAACACTCAAATTATAGTCCATGTAAAACATGGCTAAAATTCAAAAAACTGACATGTCAGAATTGGAAAATATTCCTAAATCGAAATTATATAACAATGAAAGAACAAAAACTAAAAAATCTCAGATATTTACAGGAAAATGTTATTAATGATTACGTAATTTATTATGTAATTACAGTTGTTTAAATTTGATTGGTCAAAAAAAATTTCGAGCATTTTTAGACATGATTCTCATTTTTTTTTTAGGTCTTTGATCGTTTTGTAAATATTGTAAAGAATTTTTATTCCTGATGATGCACAAAATGTGCGAAAAAGTTTGAATTAACATTTTAAATTCTTATTTTAACTTTTGAGTTTCGAATAAAAAAATTAGATGGCCTTAAAGCTCTTTGAACTTTTAGAGGACATTCTGATGGACACTTTTATGTTAAAATTAACCCAATTTGAGAAAACTGGATTAATAGGTTAAACTTTTTACCTATTGTAAAGAAATCACAAGTCAAACCGCGAAAAACCAAAATTTAGTGTGAACAAATTTTAGGACTTTTCCTGAAAAAAAAACAAACAAAAAATCAGCCCTATAGAAGAAGAGTACTCAATACGTTCATTAATCTTAAGAAAATCTACAAATTCATGTTAAATTTATTTACCGAATCAAACAACTATTAGGATACATGGAGATAGGAAAAGACAACAATTTCAGTAAATTAGGTTTTTCAGTTGAAGAGTTTGACCTACCTGTCGGAACAGCCTGACTGACTGTTATTGTGAAAGTGACTTCATGAGAAGTCGGATCTTCTTGCACTGTAGCATTTCCTGGGCCTCGCTTTTTCTTTCGTCGGATATTAAATATGGACCCAATGCCCAAGACGGTACTACATCTTTCTCCATGCAAATCAGCGCTTATAATAGAATCGGCTGAAACAAAAGTAATTTCGGATCAGACAACTTAACAAAAAATAATCTAACTTCAATTTAGCATACATCTGAAGCCAGCTTGAGAGTCAGCGTCTAAATGAGAAGGTGCCGCTGATCCTCTTTGAACCGACCCTCGCTTGCTTACATTGGCCGAGTTGACTGTTGATGCCGATTTGTTACTATTTATACTACCAGCTCTTGTCATTACTACATAATCTTGAAATGGATTATCACTTAACTATGGCATTAAAAATAAACCAAAAAAATGAGAACTTCAATTGCAAAATTGTAATTAATATTATTAAGCAAGTGTATGTCATACAACTTTTCTTGGTTATATATTTATTTACAATATAATAAAATAAACCAAAAAAGAACACTTTAATTGCAAAATAATAATTAATATTATTAAGCAAGTGTAAGTCACACAACTTATCTTGGTTATATATTTTTATTACAATATAATTAAATACAATTAGCCTAATTAATGTGATAAACTTATTAAATAAATTCATGTGATATGATACGCTCATAATGGTACGCTTGTAAGAAGAAGGCCCGGGATTTTAGAGACAAGCTCGTCAAGTCGCGATACTCCCCCACTACCCGGTTATCCCCGCCGGAACCTCCACCCATGAAAAACCAGGATGAAATTTTATTGCTTTCATTTCTTTTTTGATATTTATTTTTAAAATCCATTTCTCTACAATCCATTTTACAATCTATTCTTTCTGTAACAGTCGCCTACTGCAGTCACATATGAGGCTTAAGAAAAATAGGCCCTATAACCATTGGCTCTAGAGTCAGGGACACTATCTCTTGTGTTTTTCTACCTCAAGAACGGTCGGAGCCAATTCGGTTCGCTTGCGACATGAGACTAGAACCCATTACAGCTTGAAGGCTACTACCAAAATATCCCCCCACTCTAGAAAATAAGAACGTCCCCATACTTAGGTCTCAAGATACCCAAAATACATGAACGCCGTTAAAAACAGGGTTGGAACAATCCGTTAAGTTACTTTTTATTGGACAGTGAAACTTTGATCCATTTCAGATGGATCAACCTAAAACTCGCCTTATCTCAACATAACAATCATAAAACACACTCGAGAAATTTAAATTGGGAACTCACATGTTGATGTACTCGAGTACAGGGAGTAATTAAATTGGTAAGCAACTCAAGAATCAGGTAATATAACTAAACAAGTTTGATACTGGTCAGTTTTGGTAACAGAAGTAAGTTCTGGCTCTAGAATTTGAGTTTTTGTATGAACCATTGGGACACTCAAGCTGTCCACCTTTCCATTGAAGGTTCACTCTAGTTCGTTCCGAATAGTCGTTCTTTCTTCTATTTATCGTCTCTCCTCCTATTTCGGGATAAGACAGCTCTACTCGTGTCTTATTTTATATCTGGAAATTGCGAATAGCAATTTCCCGCTGTTTTTCTTGAGCAATTTCCCGCAATTGTAAATTCGGATGTTCTGATTTTTCACTTTTTGTTTTCAGTTGGTACGAGAAAACTGAGCATGACAGGCTCCATTCGAAATTTTGAAGATTAAAACTTCACTCCAAAATTACGTAATTTCGTGTCTCTCAAGGTCAAACTTCCAGATATGACCGACTGTCACATACTCCCCGGACTCAAGATCGATGTCCTCATCGCGTGCTGTCGTTGTCAGTGAATCCCCAGAAGCCCGAGTGTCACTCAAGATACAGTGCCAGTGGTCATTTACAGAAGTTTGCAGCAGACTCAAGTTTATCTACCTTCCAAAATTCACGACCATATAAAATTTTCACACTATCGGTAAACAGCAATCAAAATCTGCACACACCTGCACCTTATGAATTCCCGCTTTTTAAGCTGGTGATTTAAAATTTCTTTTGTCCTATTCAATCAGGAAATTGTCATGCAGCATTTTGGTTTATATAATAGATCTAGCATATTAATAACAATATCTTATTTGTTAAAATTTCTTTTTCGTGAACCCAGATTTCATCCGAGTTCACCCTCGAGCCCCCTTTTCTCAAGACTCTAGATTTTTCCTTTTGAGCCACCGGCTCACCTTGTGTTCTTCGCCCTCAAGGTACCCGATCCAGATACTTTTGACACTGTGATCTGTTCCAATAGTGCCTCTTTGTCATCGGAGCTGATCACAATCTCCTCCCAAGCCTTCAGCTGTTCATAGGATCGCATCCACTCCCATTGCTCTTGCAATCTCTTCGCTTGATTCGGTAAGCTCTTGTCCTTTGACTCCCGGTTCAAACAGAAGGAATTGTGAAGACTCAGGCTTACATTCTTCGCCAGGTCCTCCTCCAGTATTGACTCCCTCGCTCTAGTGTTGTCTCTGGATACCCTACCCACTCTTTTCCACCCCGTCGTGATCGCATTTCGATGGGTCAGCAGAGGTCTTTTGAAGGCATCTGGTCCTATCTCGGCCTGGAATTGTCGATATTCCTTTTGATGTTTCCTCATGTGATACTTCGTCGCTACATATAACCAGGATGTTAACGTCGCGCGAAACCAAGGAAAGAATCTCAAGCGGCTCCACACGTGTCTGACTTCCATTGGTATGGCGAACACCTTGCATGCTGTCTCGAACAACTCAAGTCTCCTGCTGTAATCTATCGCGTGAATCGACTCTGCGGTTGGCGTCTTCGATTCTCGATACTTTGCTATGTTTTCTTCCATACATCGTAGAGCCAGCATTGTGCTCACCACCAAGATGGTCACTTTTTGTTGATGCTCGGGTAGTCCCAACGACCTGATTTCTTCTACATCCCAGATCAGGCAGAGATTGGCTTGGACTGGGTACCACACTGTCTGCGCCAGACAGTGGCACGGACAATCCCCGTGTGTGAGGTCGATGCTCCTAAGATTGCGTTCTCCCGAGGCTTCTAGGAGAGGCTCAAGTTCCATCATCTTCTCGTGTATCACGTCGACTTCTCCCAAGTTTGGGGCACCTACCATGGGTTTCCCAGTCACGTTTTGTATCTCGAGGTCACTTGTATTTTCGCTCTCCAAGCCTAGAAGTTCTTCACCCCAGATTTCACTCAAGTCATCCCTTTGTTCTTTAGGCACTGTTCCTCGGATCTTCCTCAACAGCTTGTGTGAATGATGTGACATCCGAGCTAGTCTTACACATTTGGGCACTGAGAAGGCTTTGTCTATCAATACCCTCTGGCTGGACACTTCTACCATCGCCATGTGCAATGGATAGTGGCTGCCACATAGGTTGGTCATCACTGACCCCACTAGAGACTTCGCATTTAGAGGCAGTCCATAGGCTTCGCTCATGGGAAATCCCATCTCCGCTTCGAGTCCAACCTTCCAACTCTTGATGTGTTTCTGGGTCACTTGCAACACTCCGGGCCATGACTCCACGCTCAACGCAGTCACCAAGTGGTGTTCTGACTCTAGCCTCTCCAGTGACTGGAGACTACACATTCTTGAGAAGAAGTCCAGAGCTGTTGCTAGGTTCACAGTGGTACTCGCGTAACACTCAGCCACTATCTGTATCTCACTTTTCTCCCTTTCGGTGATATCTTCAAGCCAGGTGACTAGGTCTTCTTTCTGGAAAGACTGTATCCTGACACATGATCGTCCATCACAGGTGTGCTCGCCATTCCCACACGTCGAGTCAAGACAACTGCCTGGCTCCATCTTCTTTACCGATCCTGTTCCACTCGTCATCTCACTTGACTCCTTCATATGAGGCAGGATCAGTCTATGTACTATACTCAAGGTCGCTAAATCTTCATCCTCTGTCGGCGCCAATCTCACTCGCTCAGTGACTTCCTCGATCAGGCTCGCATGGGGATGTGGACACCAAGAGGGCCTGAGCAACTTCCACACCACTCCCAGATTCGTGGTCAACGTGCCGTTCCCGTTACCCATTCTTAGTTCTACTCTTTTACTTGAGCGTGGCACACTTATTACTTCCGGAGTCCTCTCGAGAATCAAACCCAGACTAGGTCTCTCTCTTTCCACAGGGTATATCTCCATTGTCCTCTCTATCCAGAACTTCAGCAACTCCGCCACCTCATAGTTACTGTGGGCACCTCCAGCTTCCAAGTCTAGGAAAGGGTTGTATGCCATCCCCATCACTCCAGACACATACTGATACTCTCCCTTCTTGTTGGGTTTCGAGTACTCTCCTGGAGGAGCCAGGTTACGGTGAACGTCGTGTTTCTCCTCGAACTTCTTGTTGTAGAACCTCCGTATCTCATCTAACTTCCTGTGGCTCTCCAGAGATTGCCTAGAACCATCTTCTTTTTCTATCCCAGTACTCTGGTACACATTCAAGATTACTGTGGAGACTCTCCTCTCCAGCGTCTTGCTTCCAATTGCTCTCTGGTGACATGCTAGGATGGTACTCTCAGTCATCATCGACATCGTCCATCTCAAGAAGCAGGTAGCATCCTTCCTTCTTGCCATGCTCAAGCCTGAGTTGTCCCTAGCAACATGCTGCATCAGCATTCGATATACCTCTAGGTTCTTGCCTCCCAACTTCAACTTGTCGTACGAAGTTAGTGTCTCTAACTCTATTCCCAACAGGCTCCACGCAAACATCAGTTGCCCTGCGGTTCTAATAAAGGGATTCGCCATCAACGGCGATGCCGATGATGATGTTCTCATCGCTTCTTCAAAATGATCCTTTAACAAGCTCTGCCAAATTCTCTTCAGCTGTCTCCCCAATTCTAATTTATTGATACCAGCCTTCTGCTGGGTAGCCCAGTTGCGTCGTTTGCGTGACACTCCACTGTCGAGCTTCTTCAGGCAGTCTTCCAATTCCTGCAATGTTTCCAGGGCCACCCACCACGGTCGGGCGGTGTTCCTCGTTTTATTTTTCTCAAGAGGATCGCTAGTCACTTGCTTCCCGGTAGCCTGGTGTTCATTTGAGACCCATTCATTACCGACGTCCACTTCCCAGGTCTGCCCGCTCGTTGAACCTCGCTTCATTTTTATCCTCTGAGGTTTGAAGTCTTCTTCCGTTGCTGAACTGGCGGGGATCTCCATCTCCTTTTCTACATCGAGCAGTTTCCTCGGCTCGTAGCTACTCTTGTAGGCTGCTGTCTTCCATCGTGCCAGAACCATGGGGGCCGTCTCTCTCAAGTATTTCTCCGAGACCGCATCCGCCGAAGGACTTCCCAATCCCTCCACGTCTCTCTTCCTCTTGCGAGACCTCACGTCTTTACTCGGGGGCGTTGTCGTTACCATCACTGATTCGACTTCCTTGTCTCCCCCCAACCCTTCCAACTTTTGCCTCCCCCTGCTCGAGCCTTAAAGATATTAGTACTTTTAATTATATTAATAGTTCCGACCTTATCCCCCCTTACATGTTCAATTATTTTATCGTCAGTTTTATGTTTCGGAGTAGAGCTGTCTTTACATTTGTCATCTCTGGTCTTTCGTGGTGCCTTCCTCAACTCGACCATCTTGCTCAGCAGCTCTTCTCTAGCTTTCTACTCCAGACCTGTCCCCACCAGGATAGGTTCTCCGAACTTCA